CCATGGCCCATTCTCAAAGACCCAGTTACTCGATTCAACACATTCAAATTGAAACAGAAACATATTCTCACCAAAAGCAAAGACAAAAACGCGACCATCTCTGCCCCAGAAATGCTGAGCCCAACGACGAATCACAGCTATCGGAGGTGCCTTGGAGAGGAATCACAAGCTCATCATCCACCAGGGTGTGAGCAACGTAGCGAAGTCGATTGCCTTCACCCACGCCAAAGAGCTGAGCCCAATTTGCCCGCCCCGGCGCGGCCATGGCCGCCGAGAAACTTGGAAATTATTTCAAAAGGAGAGAGAAAGAAGAGAGAGGTCATAGCATCTCGAAACCATGGTAAAGGAAACTGGATGTACCGGCCGGTTCAACCGGGAATCAGACCAGTGACGAAACGGCACCTACCAGCGCCTTTTCTACCATGCCGGCCGGTATAATCGGCGTAACCGGCATATTCTGGTATCCCGGCCGGTTTAAAATAGACCAGCGGTAAGGAAATTTTAATAAACGTCACTGTTTCATGCGAAAAATTGAAAAAAAAATTGATTAATTGATGTGCTAACCCTAATCGATCTTCGGCCTTTGACACGCTATAACACAACACCAAACTGCGACCAAGTATAATCGCAGTCCGGGAATGCAGTAACAGGCAAGTTCTAATGTCAACCCGGGGTCTAGATCTACTGCCTACTCCGTGAATATCTATTATCTAGCAAACTAAGTCAAGTGATTGTTGTTTTAACTAAAAGCAGTAAGAGAACAGGAATTGGTTCGGTTTTCTGAAGTCAAGGGAGAGTCACTCGGGAATGAGTCCCCCTAGCTCCTTAGTTAGGTCTCAATTGTAATTACCCTGGGTTGATTTACTGTTGATTAAACTGCGGAAGATCCGACAGTAGCTTGGAATCTCTTAAGCTGACCAAGCCCTCTCAGTCCAACTACCCGGCAGGCGACTAACCTTCACCGGGATAGAAAACTGAGGCTATGAACACAGAACTCCACTACCGGAATTGGATTCCAGAACAAAGCAGTAGATTGACTAACTCTCGTATAACCAATCTACTACTACCGAATGATGAAGCTCTAACAACCTAATCAGATTCTATCTATCTCAGGTTGCAGCAGAAATCAAGAAAAGCTGATCAGACTTCAATTAATTCAATGAATCATGCATCATTCCATTATAATCAAACAGTATAACAATCCCAAGTCATTACAATCAAGATCCCTAACACATGGAACTAGGGTTCTTCATACCCAAGTGAGAGAAAGTTCTACTCCATAGAGAGAGAGGGGAAAACAGAATACAAAGCAGTCATACTCATAACAATGGGAAGAATCTGCTCTGGGATGATGATTTTCACTCCTATGATGATCTCCAAGCTTGATTTGATGAAACCCAGCTCCAAGATCGCTTCTAGGATGTGTTCTTCACACTTTCTCTCTCTAGGGCTCTGTTTTTGCTCCAAAAAGTCGACTCCCCCTCCTTTGGCTCGAAATTGGGTTAAAACCCAGATTTTCCCGATCACACGGCCAGGACACACGGCCGTGTGGCTTACCCAGCTGCCCGTGTGAGTGCCAAAATGCGGTGTTTCGATTAAGTGGACCTCGGGCTCCTACACGGCCAGGGACACTTGGCCGTGTGGAATTCCCAGGGTGCCCGTGTGAGTGCTCTGTAAATCCCACATGGCCACATGGGTTACTTACACGGCCGTGTGGGTTTTAGGAGTGCCCGTGTGGCATCCTCAGCCTCTCGCCACACGTCCGATCTTCGTCCAATCAACCACGAACTCGTTCCCAAACCTTCATTCACGTACTAGGACCTGAAATATCACAAACAAGAACAACCTAGCGTGAAATTGGCCTAAAACACGAGAATCAACATCTCAAAGGGTGTAAGAATAGGGGTAAAAACATGTGCAATTAACGGTCTATCTAACACCCCAACACTTAACCGTTTGCTTGTCCCCAAGCAAACCAAGTCAGACACAAGGTAAGCTCACAATTTCAATCATACCAACATTGGGGACAAATCATATAGGCACAGAACATGGGAATCGTACTGGCTTTCAACATCAACACATGAACAACTTCAAAAGCAACCTGGACAACCACCACAGAGGACATTTAAATGCAGCAAAATCGAGTAAAGGAGGAGTCTCCCTTCTGTTCATCAACCAACATAGACTTGACTCAACCACTGACTCAAGACAGTCACCTCATGCACAAAACTCAAGATATCAGAATAGAGACCGAGCAATCTAAGTCCTCACCGGGGTACAAGAGTATAGAGAATATGAGAAAATGAATCGCTCACTCTCGACCAATGGGGTCAGGACAATTTGATGCAAAAAAATGTGCATGCTTACTCTCTCAATCCCTAACATCTCTTCACCATGACGGCAGCCTCTAGGTGTTAGAGCTCACATAAATAGGTTTCATCACCAGCTAATCCGGAGGTCTTAGACACAGGTTCAAATGACTGGCTAGGGTCTTGGACATGGGGAAAAGGCCTTTTAGGTGGTGGAATATTCATAGCACAAGGTTCCACATTTCCAAACCCAACACAATCACAGTCAATCAAACCACTTACTTTCTTTCTGCCATTCTGCATTACTCAAATTCTTGCACAAGAGCGAAGGAGGTCACATAAATGTTAGTATTTCCAAGCCAGACTGCTAAGAAACACTACTTAACGGGCACTATTCAGATTTTTGATGGTGGCTCTCTTTTTCTTTCATTTTTTTCTTTGTTTTTCTTTCATTTCTTGAGAGAACCAACTCCTATTCACATTTTTCAAACACATGCCCAACTTTTTAAGAACTACCTCCAACCCTCACATTACATCTAGCAGAAACAGCAGAAAACATGTAAAAACCACTCTGTGGAACCCTCCAAGAGATGCGAAAGGGTGATTTTTCATTGTAGACCGAAAGAAAGGATACACACTGCTCAAAGGGGCTGACTAGGGGGTATGACACACCAGGACAGTCAATTTGGTCATGAGCTAATCCTATGCCTCCATCATCTTAGCTAATGACAACGTGAATGCTACACATCATGGAAGAGGGATCTATCGCACAAGAAAGAAACGAGCAGGCTCAAATCTCACATGGCTACCTATATGCTCTATCTCTCATTCTTATTCCCTGAACTAGATGCATAAACGACTATCAGGAACAAGTGATCAATCCAAGTCACAGTTGGTAAGCAAATAGTTGAAAAACTGAACCCCTACACAATTCTACTGCACGTCTCAGTCATCATTATAGGCTGTCCTAGTTACACCTCAGTTGTCATGCATTAAGTCGAAAACCATTCGATTCAAACATCAGAACCACAGTGCCAATATGATCAAGCAAATAGCAGTACTTGGAGCCCTCAAATCTTAAGATTCGGACAGTGGACTAGGCTCCAAGCACACATATATAGATTCCAACCGATACAAAGCACCCCCACACTTAAGCACGACATTGCCCTCAATGGAGCAGAGGGAGAGATAAGGGGAACGATGTTACCGGATTGAAATACTGCCGGGGGACTGGAAGTGGACAAGTCAGCGGGAAACAAATGGGACGATGGACAGTTCTGCACGAAGCGAACATCAAGAGCACACTAGCACACTGTGCGTTAGGGATCAGAGTTAGCCCAGATGGCCAAAAAATAAACAATCCACAAAATAAAAAGAAAAACAAAAATAAACGACAGACTAAGTTCAAACTCAGCACACACATGGAGCAAACACAAAAAGTCTGAAATGAAACACACTCAGGAGGGCGACGAGTACAGCCTACTCGTCGCCAAGGTTGTCCAGATCGATGTCGTTCATGAAAGCGTCATCATCATCAGCTGGTGGAGGTGGAAGTGGAGAGTCCTCCCAAGGAGTCTTCCAGACTGGCTGCTCGCCCGGTAGCAGCTGGAGCAGGTCCTGCATGCGCCGAGATCGAGCCTTCTCCCGCTCGATGTGAGCAAGTGTCACCCCCTGCTGGGTCTCCATCATGTTCGGGCGCTCATCATAAGCAGCCATCCGGGTCTGATACTCGGCCTGGTGAGCCGCATACTGCTGCTGGAACTGGAGCTGATGGTCGAGGAGCTTCTGATTCTGGAGACGCAGCTGCTCGAACTGGTGAGTGAAGTAGTCCTGACCAGGGAAAGCAGAGCTGCTACCTCCGTAATCGAAGGTGGTGGGGCGGGGGGCAGTAGCATCATCCACATCCTCGGGCTCGTCATCCGAAGCAGCCTCATCCTCAGGAGCATCAGGCTGGTCCTCCGCTGGGATCTGAGGTTGAGGAAACCCCACGATCCACTTGACGCCGCGCTCCTCTCGCAGCAGGTGCATGCTTTTGTTCGTGTCTTCGCCAAAGGCACTGGTGCTCCCCTGCTCTGTGCAACCCTGCAGTGATATCTTGAAGTAGGCGGCCAGGTAGGTGATGAGAGGAGTGCAGTGGAGGCTCTTCAATTCTGAAGCACTCTTCTCAAAGGTTCTGGCCACCACATAACCCAAGTGGAGAAGGTGGTCCTCATGGCGGATGGACTGGATGAAGTACAAGCCTCTCCTGGTGATGGTGCTGGCACTCTCCCCAGCTGGAGTGTAGGACTTTGCCAGCAAGTGGTGGAGAATGCGGTTATCGAGCTGCAGGGTGCTGGCCTTCGTCCGCCCTGCCACGAATGGACGCTGGCCTGGCTGAGCTTGGCGGGTGTACAACGTCTTGATGTTCACGCCCACCGGATCATTGAGCTCGGTGACGTAGTCCTCACCATCGGCCAGGCCGAGGTCGAGAGCGGTTACCAACTCGTGGTAGCTCATGGAGCGGGGTACACCGCCAAGCCTGAACTTGACAGCTTCACCGTCTGCCCAATCCTCTATGGATGCGTGCTTGAAGGTCGTATAGAACTCAAGCACGGGCTCGTGGTAAACCTTCTCGCGGATGGATAGCAGACGGCGCCAAGGGCGGTTGGTGACAATGGCGGAGAAGTGCTCGTAGCAGTGCAGCTTCTGAAACTCCCGCCTAGACCAGCAATGATGCTGCCCAAACGAGCAGGCCAGGACGTGCTTAAAACGATCCTGGTGGGGGCCCCTCTTCAAATCCCTGATGAACGCGTGCTTGAGGTCGGGTTTCGTCATGGTCCTTCAAAAGAACAACCCAAAGTGGAGTCAAAAGAGCCAAAGAAAAGGTTTATCACACCCCCACACTTGAGAACAGAAAACAGCCGAACCATGGTTTCATCCATAGTTCGGGGGTCAAAAACTCAATCAAACAAGCATAATCTTGGTGGGGGTGCACATCCACAATGTAGTAGGCAACTTAAGGTTCACATCCATAGCAAATACACCCTCAAAGCACATCATTAAGGGTCCCAACCGGTTCCCACAAAATGGTATGAAAAACAGGCATTTCATCGAGCACCTTGTGTGCACTATTAAGGTATGCATGGATTTGACAAATTTCTTGCACACAAGGGCTCAAACAAGCAAGGGGGACATTGCCCAACACAATTCACACATAATCCAAGCTTTCCTCTCAATCAATTGCACACAAATCACACAAAGCAAAATTGTTCTCTAAACAAACACCCTAACACCCAATTCTCCACAATTCACAAGGTTAAGGTCAAAATCAAATCTGGAGACACAAGTAGAGGTGTAGGGGATGATGAGGGGAAGGCAATGGAAGCGACGAAAAGCCCAAAATTTGTTCGGAAGTGCTCGTCGGAGCCTCGCCGGAAATCGCCTCCGGTGACTCAAAATCGGTCCAAATCGCCTCAAAATCGAGGGATACGCCGAAAATGGGGAGAAAAGGATGGGTGTGGTGTTGGTTTGGTGAAAAACCGACCAAAAATGGCCAAAAATTGCCAAAGAGGGCGAAAGGTCGCGGTTTTCCGGCAAGAGGGAGAGGATTCCGGCGAGGGGAAGGTGGTTTTCTGACCACCCGGCTGTGTCGGCCAAATAAATAGGCAAAGGTTCGGCCACACGGGCACACTCACACAACCGTTTGAGGTGCAGTGGTGCCCGTGTGGGCCGATACGGCCTGGCCGAGGAAAGCCACACGGCCGTGTGAGTTGCACAACAGGCCGTGTGGAAATTGTCGAGGCTTCACACGGCCAAGGGCTCAAAACCACACGGCCGTGTGGGTGACCCCCCCTGCCCGTGTGAGATTTATAGGGCTTCCACACGGCCGTGTGAGGGTTAGGACTGGCCGTGTGGATTGCCAAAACCCTGAATTCGACCTGTTTTAACTCAAAAACGACGTTCGACTCTGGGACAACACCTCAAGACTCCAAAACACAAAAAATCAAAAGGAAAAAGGTAAGAAAATGCAAAACTAGGTGGGGTTGCCTCCCCACAAGGCTTCTTTACCGTCTTTTAGCTGGACGCCAGTAGAGTGGATGCTTAGTGAGGTGAAGGAGCAGGTGCCTCCAAGAGCGGATCCACATCGCTCTTGAGGTACATCTTCAGGTGGTGGCCATGCACACGACGAATGTGGCCACCAGCACTCGTCAACTCGACCTGGCCATCCGGCAGGATGAAAGCGAGTGAATACTCGGATGGCCAAGGCGGTCGAGGCTCAGGAGGCGGGACCAGCTCATAGTGGTCTCCGGTTGTCTTGCGAGCAGGCTTAGCTACCTGCAGCTTCGGCCGCCACTTCTCCTTGATCTTATCTTTTGGTAACGGAGTGGATGGGAGTGGTGGCGAGGATATGTGAGAGGGGTCCTGCAAAATGGGAGGCACAAAAGGATACACGACAGACTCGTGCTCCTGGTGAGAAACAACATGCAAAGGCGATGAAGCATGGAGAGTATTAACAATAGAAAAGGTTATTCGCTCCTCGCCATCCCTCAAGACTAAGGTCCCATCATTTACATCTATGAGAGCCTTGGCGGTGGCCAGGAAAGGCCGTCCCAGTATAAGGGGCACTTCTGTGTCCTCATTGATGTCCAAGACAATAAAATCCACAGGATAAAAGAATTTGCCAACCTTAACTAGAAGGTCTTCCACTATGCCCCTAGGATGAATTATAGATCGGTAAGCTAATTGAAGACTCATCCTAGTCGCACGGGGTTCACCTAGGTCTAGTTTCTTGAACAATTTATACGGCATGACATTGATACTAGCACCTAGATCCGCCAAGGACCTCTCTACATGCAATTTACCGATAGAGCACGGGATAGTAAAACTACCTGGGTCCTTCTGCTTCTGCGGAAGCTTGTTCTGCATAATGGCCAAGCACTCCTCGTTGAGCTCCACAGTGGCCAGCTCACTCAGCTTCTGCTTCTTTGAGAGAAGATCTTTCAGGAACTTCGCATACTTCGGCATTTGAGATAGTGCCTCCAGGAAAGGCACTTGGACATTCAGCTTCCTAAGCATGGACATAAGTTCCCGAACTCTGCCTCTAGCCTATCTTTGTGCAACTGAGTAGGGAAAGGGAGTTGTGGCATATACTCCTTCACTACTGGTTGCGGCTTAGGCGCAGGCACCTCAACCTCCTTCTCTGCTTCTTCTTCAACCGCTGGAGATGCTGAAGCATGGGCCTCTCTCTCTTGTTCCCGAACAGGTGGATCAACAGTCATCTTGCCACTCCTGGTTGTGATGGCATTACAGTGGGCATTCGGATCCTTCGGATTAGGAATGGTATGACCTGGCAAGGTACCTGGAGCCCTCTGCTCCACTGCTTGAGCCACGCTCCCCAGTTGGGTTTGGATATCCTGCAAGACAGCCTGCGTGTTCCTCTGGCCAGCTTCAAGAGCTATGAATTTACCCGAGGCCTTTTCCATGAATTGCTCGATAGTGTTGAATTTTTGAGCACTAGAACTGGCAAGAGAACCCACCAGATCCCGCAATTCAGCCATCGGATCATTTTGCACTGGGGTTTCAGGGGCTACGCCTGGCTGCTGGAAAGATCGCGGCTGTGGTTGAGCAGCATGCCCCTGCATGGGCTGGTAGAGAGACTGCTGCTGCTGCTGGAATTGCCCCTGTCTGGGCGGATATGGCGTTCTCTGAAAGCCTAGCGGTCAATGGGAGGCTGGTGGTCTAGGATTTGCCCCAACCAAGGAGAAGTTGGGATCCTGGTGCCACCCCTCGTTGTACGTGTTACTGTAGGGGTCATTGCGCCTAGCATTATTGATGAAGTTCACCTGCTCCTAGGGTGTAGTCGACTCCCTCATCGCCTAGCAATCTTCCACAGTGGTCTAGGATTTGCCCCATCCCAGATCGATCTATGACTGAAACCAGCTTCGATACCACCTACACCAAATCAGATGACTGGGTGGCTACAGCATGCACACCCCGCCCTGGTGCTCGTCTTGATCTCCTGGCAGTTCCCCAGTCATATCCCTGCTCTGCCATCTCTTCAAAGAGTTGATTCAGCTATGGTGGCGTTTTGGTGAGCATATTCCCGCCACAGACCGAGTCAATCAGCTGCTTGTCTTCCGGGAAGAGGGCATGGTAGAAGGTGCCCACCTTGAAGGCGTCGTTAAAACCATGGTTGGGGCACTTGAGGAAGAGACTGGTGTATCTATCCCAAGCATCCCGGATGGTATCATCTTCATCTTGAGTGAAGTGGGTGATTTGCTTATGCAGGTCCGCCGTCTTGGACGGGGGATGGTAGCGAGTGAGGAACTTGTCTACCAAGTTGGCGAACGTAGTGATCGAGCATAGAGGTCGAGTGTCTAGCCACTCCTTGGCCTGCCCCTCCAGAGTAAATGGGAAGTACCACAGCTGGATGGCATCGGCTGGGACCCCATTTATCTTGATTCCATTGATCAGTTCGTGGAATCGCCTCAGATGTGATCGGGGGCACTCCCCCTCCTTGCCACGGAACACCACCAAATCGCGCAACATCGTGATGACCGAGGTGCTCACCTCAAAGTTGTTCGCTGGCACATGAGGGTGCTGAATGGGCGACCTCATGTCCGCGGCTCTGGCGGTCCAGTAGTATCCAAGCACACATATATAGATTCCAAGTACTGCGACCAAGTATAATCGCAGTCCGGGAATGCAGTAACAGGCAAGTTCTAATGTCAACCCGGGGTCTAGATCTACTGCCTACTCCGTGAATATCTATTATCTAGCCAACTAAGTCAAGTGATTGTTGTTTTAACTAAAAGCAGTAAGAGAACAGGAATTGGTTCAGTTTTCTGAAGTCAAGGGAGAGTCACTCGGGAATGAGTCCCCCTAGCTCCTTAGTTAGGTCCCAATTTTAATTACCCTGGGTTGATTTACTGTGGATTAAACTCCGGAAGATCCGACAGTAGCTTGGAATCTCTTAAACTGACCAAGCCCTCTCAGTCCAACTACCCGGCAGGCGACTAACCTTCACCGGGATAGAAAACTAAGGCTATGAACACAGAACTCCACTACCGGAATTGGATTCCAGTACAAAGCAGTAGATTGACTAACTCTTGTATAACCAATCTACTACTACCGAATGATGAAGCTCTAACAACCTAATCAGATTCTATCTATCTTAGGTTGCAGCAGAAATCAAGAAAAGCTGATCAGACTTCAATTAATTCAATGAATCATGCATCATTCCATTATAATCAAACAGTATAACAATCCCAAGTCATTACAATCAAGATCCCTAACACATGGAACTAGGGTTCTTCATACCCAAGTGAGAGAAAGTTCTACTCCATAGAGAGAGAGAGGAGAAAACAGAATACAAAGCAGTCATACTCATAACAATGGGAAGAATCTGCTCTGGGATGATGATTTTCACTCCTATGATGATCTCCAAGCTTGATTTGATGAAACCCAGCTCCAAGATCGCTTCTAGGATGTGTTCTTCGCACTTTCTCTCTCTAGGGCTCTGTTTTTGCTCCAACAAGTCGACTCCCCCTCCTTTGGCTCGAAATTGGGTTAAAACTCAGATTTTCCCGATCACACGGCCAGGACACACGGCCGTGTGGCTTACCCAGCTGCCCGTGTGAGTGCCAAAACGCGGAGTTTCGATTAAGTGGACCTCGGGCTTCTGATGACTCGGTATTTGCACATGTTTTCCCCTTGGTTTCTTGATTGTTTGAGCTTGAATTATCGTGTCTTTGGCCTATTTTACGCTAGGTTGTGTTCCTTTGTCACATTTCAGGTCCTAGCACATAAAGTGAAGCATAGGCGTAAGTTTCAAGTCAA